ATGGCAAGCACTTCCCAAAAAATTACTAAGAAAATCATTCAAACTTGAGGTGCTTTTTTCAAGAGGCAACTGGACTTTCTGGTTTTTTTTCTTTCAAGATGTTTCGCTTCTCATCCAAGAAGCTTCTTCAGCTCTGACTGGATGGTGGGGAATGGAAGGGTTGATGTTCCTCCTTGTGGAACACAAACTCCAAAAGCTGAAATCACTTCTTCTACCAACAGAAGCATTGGAACAGGAATTGATAAAGAAGGCACAACTAACACAACACAACGAGTCTTCAAAGAAAAACCAGAAAGTCTAGTTAACTCTTGAAAAAGCACCATTGAGACAACTATGACCTGGATGACTGAGAAGCTCCATAGACATCACCAAAGCTTGTTCATGTAGTTGCCAGGAGTCAAAACTGACTTAGAAACCAAAGAAATCAGGTGACAGAGATATGTCTCCAGGCACACTGGTACCTGAAGATTGTTGCGTTCCCTCCCTGCATACATTTGACTCTTATTAGCCCAGGATTTTTTTTCATTCTAGATTTCAGAAACACTCCCTCCGTCAGAGAAATGGGTACCGGTAATCCTCGACTTACCGCCATAATTGAGCCCAGAATTTATTGTTGTAAGTGGGTTGCCATGTGGTCAAGTGGGTTGCCATGTGGTCAAGCCCCATTTTATGACCTTATATGTGGTAATCATTAAGCAAAGGCTGCCGTCATTAAGTGAGCCATGGTGGCACAGTGGTTAGAATGCAGTAAAAGTAAAGGTTCCCCTTGACATATATGCTAGTCGTTCCTGACTCTAGGGCAGTGTTTCTCAACCTTGGCAACTTGAAGATGTCCGGACTTCAAGTTGCCAAGGTTGAGAAACACTGCTCTAGGGAGTGGTGCTCATCTCTGTTTCAAAGCCGAAGAGCCAGCGCTGTCCGAAGACGTCTCCGTGGTCATGTGGCCGGCATGACTAAATGCCAAAGGCACATGGAACACTGTTACCTTCCCACCAAAGGTGCTCCCTATTTTTCTACTTGCATTTTTACATGCTTTCAAACTGCTAGGTTGGCAGAAGCTGGGACAAGTAAAGGGAGCTCACTCCATTATGTGGTGCTAGGGATTCAAACGGCCGAACTGCCAACTTTTCTGATCGACAAACTCCGCATCTGAGCCACTGAGCCTCTGTGTCCCTTAGAATGTAGTACTGCAGCTAATTCTGCTGACTGCAGGCTGCCAGCAGTTTGGCAGTTCAAATCTCACCAGGCTCCAGGTTGACTCAGCCTTCCATCCTTCCAAGGTGGGTAAAATGAGGACCCCAGATTGCTGGGGGCAAAATGCTGACTCTGTAAACTGCTTAGAGAGGGCTGGAAAGCATTGTGAAGAGGTATATAAGTCTAAGTGCTATTACTATCATTAATCAAATGCCACAATCAAATGAATTCATTATACCCAACGAGAGTGTCCCCCCCACCCCCTGCCAGAAACTGGGAGTAAATCCAGAATGTGGCAAAAAGTGTCAAAAGTTGTGATCATGTGATTGTGGGGTGCTGCAAACAGCTGTAAATGCAAGCTGCTTGCCAACCACTCAAAATGCGATCAAGGGATTATGTGCGTGCGTGTGTGTGTTGTATGTGTGGTATGTACATATGTGACCATTGGGACTTTGAAATTGGGTGATAAGTACATTTTGGGGGGGAGTCTGTCATAACTTCAAGCAGATGCTAAGCCACTGGTCATTAAGTGAGGATTACCTGTAGTGTGGTTGCCAAGAGTGCTATTTGAGGATAAGCCAGGAGTTTTCAGTAGGAGATATAGACAAAATACTCAGGATAAATGGCTTTGACGGACTGCATTCAGGGTTTACAGTAAATAAAAGAAAAGAAAATTTTGTAGATAGCCCACAATATCTAGCAATATTTCCAGTGGAAGACCCCAAACAGGAAAATAAAAATTATGACAATTTTTTTTTAAAAAGCCTAATTTATTATCTCATAATTCAAGAAAAAATATATACTGTAATAAATTTGACAGCATTTAAAATAGAGATACACAGCCTGAAGCTTCAGAAAAGTCTCGTCTCCACGTACACTCCAACTATTTGCACCAAAATGTTATTTTTAGATTTGACAAAGGACAATGGGTGGCAATATCTAGCTCAGCTTGGATGATTTCAAACAAAGCTAAACACATCAGATTTGATTAGATCTCTCTCCTCTGTCCATCTCCTTTCTCTATCTTCATCCTCCTCCTGCTTCACAGCTTTTCTCCTTCTCCATAACTTTTCACCTCCATTTCCATATCTGCCCATCTCTGTATCTCTCCATCTATCTGCCTCTGACTATTTCTATCTTTATCATCTCTATCCCTGTCTCTAATATTTTTCTCTATTTCTCTCTGTCTCTCTCCGTCTCTCTCATGTGTCTCTGTCTCTGTCTCTCTGTCTTATCTATCTAATCTTCTATCATATCTGTTGATCATCTATCTATTCTCTTTGTGTCTCCATCATCATCATCTTCATCATATCATCATCTGAGTGTGTGTGTGCGTGTGCATGCGCATGCGTGTGTCTCTCTTTCTCTGTCTGTTTGTCTGTCTGTCTGTCTGTCTGTCTCTCTGTCTCTCTGTCTCTCTGTCTCTCTGTCTTATCTATCTAATCTTCTGTCATATATCTGTTGGTCATCTATCTATTCTCTTTGTGTCTCCATCGTCATCTTCATCATATCATCATCATCATCATCATCATCATCATCATCATCTCTCTCTCAGTCTCTCTCTCTCTCTCTCTCTCTGTCTCTCTCTGGGTGTCTCTGTCTTTCTCTGTCTTATCTACCTAATCTTCTATCATATATCTATTGGTCATCTATTCTCTTTGTGTCTCCATCATCATCTTCATCATATCATCATCGCCATCATATCTCCCTCCCCCCTCTCTCTCTTTCTCTCTCTCTCCTGTGACCCTGTCATAATGGTTTGTTAGTTTATGCTTTTATATTTGTAATGATATTAATGAGGAAGAATCACATGTAGTCTAACTCGCTCTCATCCAAAATATTCTTGCTTCTTGTGTTCCCTTTTTCAGACAGTTGCCAATAGTTTTGTCTAACTACGAACAGCTTCACCTGGGCCAGCAAAATAAAAGATTAGTTTGCCTACAGAGAATTTAGGGCCCATCAATACTTTATTAGGTGCCTCTGTGCAAACTATGAACCAAACTGAGATTTCCTGCTTGCAGTTTAGTCTTTACTAAGCTTCTCTCGGCAAGACCTGTTGGCTCCCTCTAGTTTGATCCCTCTTTTCATCATCCTTCCTATTTTAGTGGAAGGGAACTATCAGCCACTACCCCAAAATGCTGACTCTTGGAAATCTATTGGGTTCTTCTAAACTTCTGTAAGGTCACCACTTGTATGTTTTTCTAGTATTGACCATACCACTGAACAATAGTTGTGCTTCAACACCTGGAGACAACTGTAGGACACTCTGCATTTTAGAAATCCCACAGTGCTACGATATGATCTCATGCTTACTACATGCTCACTATATATTATTTGAAATTGGAGTCATCCTATTATCTCTTGGTCAAGCTATGGCAAAACTATGACATGAGGTGGGAAAACCAGTGCCCCCAGAGTGGGGTTTTAACCAGCTGGAATAGTTTTTAGTGGTGGATGGGGAATAAGTGGTATATTAATTATTTTAGCTGAGCTATAAAACCAAGTTTTTCTCATGATGACACAGAAAGGGACAGCCTTGGGCTAAGGTAAGTAGCTATTGGCCTGGGGTATCAATGCTGCCTCTCCTTTTGAATCATTCTAAAACTGCCAATCTTTACATTGGTGGGAGGTGATACTATCACTCAAGATAGTCTAGGGATGCCATAGACACTTGACCTGGCACTGAACACAGATAGACAAACTTGAGCATCTGTTAATTCCCTAAAATATTTAGTAATGGCCCTTAGAGATTTCAAAATTGGTCTAGTGGTTAAGGTTTGGTCTAGTTTGGTTTAGTTTGGTCTAATGGTTAAAGCACCAGGCTAGAAATGAAGAAAATATGAGTTCAAGTCCCACCTTAACCATGAAAGACAGCTGGATGACCTTGATCTCTCAGCCCAATTCACAGGATGGGCATTGTGTGGGAAACAAGAAGAGGAGGAAGATGTGTTGGATATGTTTGCTGTCTTGAGTTATTTGTAAAAATAATAAAGGTGGAATATAAATAAATGAAATATGTTAGCAAGCTGTAATTAATAATGTGAGAAAAGAAGAAAATGAATTAAAGCCATGACTGAGGAACAATTGCAGTGACTATATTTCATTTTTACTATACTTAAATGTAATCAAATTTAATTTTTGTCTACATCTACTTTACATTTTATCCTTGTATACCAGGGTCCTAGTCTATTCCCAGCATAGACCAATCCTTGGCCCAGAAAAAGTATATATGCAACCTTGCTTTAGGTCTCCTCCTTGAGTGTGATAATGGGAATTGATAGCCTTAGAGATGTGATTTGATGCCCATGGAGGTTTAGGAGAAAAATGTGGGTTCAATTTGATTATAGAAAGAAAAAAAATATTTGTCCTGATTACTATAATCAGTTTGTTTAAAGTCAACTGGGAAAAACTGGATTTGTATCCTCAATCAGACTTTCCTGACCTGACTTGCTTCAATGTAATTTCCACTCCCTTCAGCCAATGTTGACATGCTGGTTGTGGTTGGTACTATCCAATTTTTTTCTGAAAGTTGCGGGCTTAAGAACGACTGCTAGCTCCAAATGATTGAACCAGTCCCCTGAACTGCTTGATGAGGAATGGAATACAAAAATTAGGAATCATTGTTACAGTTTGCATAAAACAGAGTGGGGGGGGGGAATGACTTTGACTGGTGGTCTTCCATTCACTATGCCATATTTCAAGCTGGACATCCTTCATTCATTCATGCAGTCTTCTTAGACGATTCATTTCCATTGACTGTCAACTCTGATGTTCCATGTTGATCATACTCACCCCCCTTTTTGCAGTGTTAGAGAAGAAGACGTCCACAAGGCAAAGCCGGGACGAGCTAATTAAGAAAGGCCTCCTGGAAATTATGGAACAAGGCAAGTGAAAGCGATCTTTGTCGTATTGTATCCCCCTCCTTCCTCTTAGAACCCGGCTGTTAAATAATGACGCTAGATGGCTTGGCGCACATAGAGAAGGTCCAGAAAAGGGCAGCAGGAATGCGGAGCTGATTCAATATAGTGTGTTGCCTGAGGCAAAGGAAGAGAAATGGCACTCGCTAAAATTCCATTATACAGTTGTTGGTCACGCTGCAGTTGAATTTTATTTCATTTCCTGCACTAAACAGAAGACTAACCTCAATGGTTTTCTTGCCCCAGTTCAATGATTCATAGAATTCTATGAAGCCGCCCAGAGTTGCTATGATAGCACATAAATTTAATAAATAAACACAATCAATGCTTCAGTATTCTATGATTTTGTTGTCTTTGAAAATAGGGTCGTAACTGTGATACTCATACATACTTTTCATCTCATTTGCACTGTCTCGGATCTGCTGCGTCAGACCGTTGCCCTATTCTGCCTGAGGGGTTCGGAGAAATTGCTGTAGACCCAAAAATGAAAGGGGAAAAGGTGGAGTGAACTAGGAAGAGACGGATGTGAATAAGGTTTGGCAGGCTTTGGAGAGAGGAAAGAGAAATGCTTCTCTCTCTCATCGTTATCATACAAGATTACGCAGGGGGGAATTGAGGATGATTAAAAGGAAGTGCAGTGCATAGTGAAACTAGAGAATTCGGGTTCATAAAACACAACGGTAGCTGCCAACTCCATTAACTTTAAAAATGGAGTGGACAAATTTTATAGAGGAGAGGATAAAGCTCCGTGCAATCATAATGGCTATACATCACTTCCTTATCACGAACAGTATTAGAATTAGGGGCTTCTGCTTGCCATCTTAAATGATTGCCCTTTTTTATGTTGATCACTAGCTGATAACCCAGCGTTGCCCAGTTATTTATTTATAGGGGGGAAATGTCTGGACCAAACGTAACTTCTAATGTTGGATTTCCCCCGTTACCAGAGGGAGCCCCCTTGTGAAGTACTGTGAAGCTGTTACCATGGCAACTCCACTGCGCTGTACAGTAGAATCCATTTTACGGCAGTACAGTGGAAGCCATTTTAAGGCACAACAGGCTGTATCTTAACAGAACACCCACCCCAAGGGGTTTTAGGGGTGTCTTACCCCCCACAGTATTTTTCTTTAGAGGGTAAGTCATCTGTATACCAAGTTTGGTTGAATTTGCTCCAGGCGTTCCAGAGTTATACTGGCGCGTGTACACACACACACACACACACACACACACACACACACACACACTTTCATATATATCCTCTCTCCTTCCACCCTCCCTTGCTCCTCTTTTTTTTCCTGTAACAGAGCCTTCTTCAAACTGGGACTCTCAAGATTTGATAGAATCACTATGCTTGCCATCTTTTGCTAGGAGAGTTTTGGGAAGCCAATATTGAATTGATTGAAACAAGCGATGGATTCCAGATCCCCTGAAGCTGGTAGTGGGAATGAAAGGACATGATTTCACTCTGTTGGGATAATATTTGAAGCCTCATTTTTCCACACTCCAATCTTTGTCCACCTTGCCCATGTCACGTTGCATTACCAACTCGTACCCCAAGGGCTCACTTCCATTGCAGTTCTGCCTCTCTTCAACCTTCCATGTTCTGGATATTTTAATTCTCTCCTGGAAATCTTTTTTTCCTTCAAATATGGCTAGCAAACCTTGATTAATATTTTTTTCTACTGAAAGGCCCCTTAATTTTGTAAAACCCAAACACCTTTATAACCTGGGAGATCACCTCCAGGTTGTATATGATAATAAATCTCCCTTTTGAAAGAATACCGAATACACGTGCATTGCATAAACCTGACAAATGAGGACAAAATCAGTTGTACAATCTTTATCAGTGGTTTGAATACAGGTATAATATACAAGTAGTTTTAAAAAAGGATGTTTCTTTCCTAGTTTCTTGAAGAGTCACCAGGTGTGCTGGACAATTCTAAAATTCTGTTATCTCATAATGAAGGATCAGAAGTGGAATATTAGCAAATGTTTCTTTGAAAGAGGCTTAATTGGGCCTGGGAGATATCTTTTGTTTCAAATTAGACTGCCTCTGGCCCCATAAGAAAAATTAACAAGAGTGGGATGAGATGGGGGAGAAAACTCTAGTCCTTTGACCATCTTCACGCCCTTGGCAATTCCCTATATTTGTGTCTTCCCCTCGACCACTGATTTTCCTGTCATCATTATGGGCATAGGTAATGTGGATGAATTGTTGTTTCCATCTGACTTCTGAACAAGGCTGGTGGCTCCCCAGCACGCCTACCAATCTATGCTATGTTGCGTCTTTTAGCTCTGTGGTTGTCATTGTGTTTGTGTGACGTTAAAGCTAAAAAAAGGAAAAGGATACGTGGCCATAAAGGAAGGGGATAAACGATTCTAGGAATGAGGCCAGAGACCATTAACATCAATTCGTTTTTATGCCTGACATTGCAGTGAAAAATATTATCCCATGTTGGCTACACAGTCATTTGACCTGGAGGACATCTAGACATCAGACAAATGTTTTTCCAGTCCTTCTTTGAAGATGCAAGATAGCAAGATAGCAATAATACTTACAAATATTGTAAGTATTATTGCTATCTTGCTATCTTGCATCTTCACAATGCTTTTCAGCCCTCTCTAAGCGGCTTACAAAGTCAGCCTATTGCCCCCAACAATCTGGCACCCCATTTTATCCACCTCAGAAGGATGGAAGGCTGACTCAACCTTCAGCCTGGTGAGATTCAAACTGCCAAATTGCAGGCTGCAGTAGCCTGCAGAACCGCACTCTAGCCACTGCGCCACTGCGACTCATAATGTCTTGCCTTGAATTACATCCCCTCCTACTCCTGTAGGATTCCCAGGAAGTTTGATCTATGTCTAAACTTGGATTGCATTTCTATAAAGCTGTCCAAGAATACAGGTCATCCTTAACTTGTGTCCAACATTTCTGTTGCTGGATGAGACATTTGCTAGGTGAGTTTTGTCCCCAGTTTACGACATTTCTCCCAACAGTTGTTAAGTGAATCAGTGCCGTTATTGTGTTAGTAACATGGCTTTTAAATGAATCTGGCTTCCCCATTGACTTTGCTTGTTATAAGGCCACCAATGGTGAGCACATGACTCCCCAAGATACTGCAAGTGTCCTAAATATCATCCAGTTGCCAAGCATCTGGATTTTGACCATGTGATCACAGGGATGTTGCAATGGTCCCAAGTGTGGAAAATGGTCATGCCACTTTTTTCAGTGCCTTTGGAACTTCGGTCACTAAATGAACTGTTGTAAGTCGAGGACTACCTGTGCCTGTTTTTGTTTTTTTAATTTTAGGTATCAAATACTCCGTTTTGGGCTGCACAAACGAAACTAGTTGAAATGTTATGCATCAGTTCATTCAGGAACAAGTTAATATTTGGTTTTAGGACAGAATAGCTTTTCTGAATGGCTGCTTTAAATATCTGGGATATTGCTTGGACAATATTTTAGGTTTCCAATATATTAGGAAAAATATTTGTCTTTAATGGTAATAACAGAATCTCCAAGAACTCCCCAAAGCAACAAGCAGTCTAAAGTACCGATGGCCTATGGTTGTTGTTGTTATCATTGCCAGAGACGACTGTGGTTGTCGTACTGAAATCTTCTGTTGTCCTACAGGCAGGAGAAGGCAATTAATAGTTTGCCAAGAGCAGGTTTGTCTAGCCATGTGAGCGTGACCCGTCAAAAGCGCGTTCCACAATAGCGCGGTCGACAAAATCGCGTATGTGACGTCATCACAACGCGACGAAAAAGATCGAAAAATTGAAATAAAAATTAAATTACAGCAAGCCGATTCACATAAAGGTAAGGGTTAGGGTTAGGGTTAGGTTAAGGGTTAGGGTTAGGGTTAGAGCGTTAGCGTTACGTTTAGCATTAGGTTAAGGGTTAGCGTTAGGTTTTTCGTTACGTTAAGGGTTAGGTTTAGGGTTAGGTTTAGGGTTAGGTTAAGGGTTAGGTTTAGGGTTAGGTTTAGGGTTAGGTTTGGGGGGGTTAGGGGAAGGTTTTAGCTTTATTTTTACATTTTTCGATCTTTTTCAATCTTTTTCGTCGATGACGTCACATACGCGCTTTCGTCGACCGCGATTTTGTCGTCCGCGGTTTTGTGGTAGAACCCATGTGAGTCCTTTTCAAGAGAATAGAGGCCTGGGTTCTCAGGGGTTTATTTTACAGTTCTAGTGATGTTAATGGTAGAGGTAAAGGTGGCTTAGTGGTTAAGATGCTCAGCTTGTTGATCAGAAAGGTCAGCGGTTTGGCGGTTCGAATCCCTAGCACCGCGTAACAGAGTGCGCTCCTGTTGCTTGTCCCAGCTTCTGCCAACCTAGCAGTTTAAAAGCGGGTAAAAAATGCAAGTAGAAAAATAGGAACCACTTTTGGTGGGAAGGTAACAGTGTTTCGTGCCCCTTCGGCATTTAGTCATGCCAGCCACATGACCACGGAGACATCTTCAGACAGCTCTGGCTCTTCGGCTTTTGAAACGGAGATGAGCACCGTCCCCTAGAGTCAGGAATGACTAGCACATACTGTTTGTGCAAGGGAAACCTTTACTTTTACCTTTAGTGTTAGCCCCCTTTTAAAATCCACAATGGCAATGTCTCTTTAAATAACTGTTCATAAGCCTATTCCGATTAAAGCAAGATAGGCAGCAATTACATCCTAACCTTTCCCAATTAAATTCTACTTTAATGCAATAATTTGTGTCTTTCAGATCTGCAATATTATGCCAAGCAGAGTACATTAAATCTTGAAGCCTCTTGAGTTTCTTTCATATCACAATGACTTATGTAATTATCTAAAGATGTAGCCCCCCCCTCCATCCCCCTTCTGCCTAACTTCCAGTTGGATCTCAGCTCTAAGGAGATCCATTGTTGTATTGTTGTAATAAGTGGAGCTATTGACCCATCAGCTTTAAATATCAATGCTTTGCCCTTGCGCTGACCATATATTAAGTGGA